AGCAATGTAAATTGACGGCAAAGTCCGAGGGTATGTACCAACAGGCTGTTCTTCTTTCAGATTCCCTTGGCCAGAGTTTGTACGTAAATGCGCACAATGAGTATAAAATGCGTCTATTTTTTTTACTGTGTTTCTGCTTGTACACACCAGCCTGTTCTTGTTCTCTCTTGTCTAGATATTGTCTCTGTAATTATATTGTGATGACCTGAAACATTACTTCTCATGGCGTCATTCTGACACCCATTTTTGTTGCAACGAAGATAAGACAAATCAACAGTAGAGCGTCGCAGTTACTGTACTTTAATCAACTGTGGAACGAATTAACAATCTCGACCACGAGAATAGTAGCCAGAGTCTTTATTTTAGTAAACGTTTTGCGGAACCTGCGACTTAAATGGGTCATTATAATCAACCCACTAGCGCCATTTTCCGGAAAATTTCCGTTGATGTCTCGTCATGGGAACTTTGTCCAAATACAGTTGAAGTCGTCCAAGATGGCCATACGTTGTCTAGGAGAAAAGTGGTTGTCTTGAGTAAGAAGATCAAGAGCTTTAACACAGTGCGACGCCGAAAGTCTGAGTGGAACATGGGCCAGAATATTACACACTATTACATTATTTATCATTTATGAGGCATTGTGGTGAAATCAAGCGTTCGCCGAAATAAAGAAATCGAAGAAATCGGCATTTTTCCGCCAATTGGGAAATTTTTTACCGATTTTTTCCTTGGTTCAACACATTGTCCATTTAGAAACACATTTGCGTGTGGATTTTACAGAAAAATGTTGATCAAAGGGACACTAAAATGCAAATTTACAGTTTTCAAAGACTCTTAATCTTTGAATCTTTGGAATTCACTTTGATTCACTTTGACGGCCATTTTCTCGCAAATTTTTTCTCTGGCACCAGCAACCCCCACCATTTTCAACCACAAATGTCTCAACTTCTATCCGAGATAAAAGGGTATTTTGTTTATCGAAAGCACAGCAAATAACATGCTCTAAGATAATACCAATAACTCTATAAGCCCAACGATTGACGAGCCCCTGATTTCACTGCGTAATGACACGTTTTATTGCACCGAGACGAGCACAATTCGACCGTCCCTACGCCGGTCAGTCCCTGTGCTGTACCTACCTGAGCTGAACACGTCCCACGACTGTCATTCTGCTGGTGGTTCCAATTTTACTGCTGCAATAAATCTTGTCCACTGGCCAGGCCAGTGATTATCTGCTGTCGTCGAGCCAGTGTGGAGGTTTACATTTTGTACGGGTGATTGTCTTGGGCTGGAAGCAGTAGGAGGAGGGTTCGTCTGTATGTGAAAACAAAATACAATCATTTTGTCATATTTTTGATCTCCAGTTCAGAGAAGTCATCATCATCCGGTGCCTTGCCGACTGGCGTGGGCGATCATAGACCTCCACTTTACTCTGTCTCTTAGAAGTACGAGGTTTCTAACAGTTTGCGAAATGTATGGAAACGTTCATCAGCGTGGCTCCATTACCCCCGGTTGTTGGTTGGCTAGTGGACTCGTAACGTAAAGGTCTCAGTTTTGAACCCAGTAAGATAGCTTTAGGTGGCGTAAGATTTTTGTTATTTTGTTAGTGCTTTATCGCACGCTTGCACTGCATGTTTCCAAGGGTCTCTTTGAGTAATAATAGTCGTTAAGAGCATAGAGAATGCTTAACAGCATGGGCATGCTTCATATAAATGCAATTATGACCATCAATTTTTTACTCCCATAATCAACACTAGCCACTACCCAAACTTAACATATTCGTGGCCGCACATTAAATTAAAAAACAAACAAACTCAAAACAATCCAACTGTTCGTTCAGAACCCCAGACTTACTGTTGATTTGACGAGTACATGTATCACAGAGCACTTGCTGGTTGACCCTCAATGTTTTACGCCCCCCTTGAAACAATTTGGATAATTTATAGGCAGGTTCATATCTGTCAAAGCAAACCATGGCGGAAAATAAACAATGTCTCAGCAGTAAGTAAGAGATACTCAATAAAGTAAATTTCCCAAAACTTCCACGGGAATCAAACACATCCTTTGTGTGCTGCAATGAAGTGTCAATTATACAATATACGCTGACAAGACCTTCTGGCTAAAATGAAGAATGAGAAGATGCCAGCTAAAAACTTGAAACCCATCCTACCACCACCACCCCCCCTTTCGCCTAAAAAAGTCTTGGATTCTGTTATGAATCCAAACTCTCCACACACACACACATGTTACAAAAGTATGTACTGGTTGCGAAACCGACCAATGATTGTGCTGAAATAATTGCTTCCCGTTTGTACAACTGGACCATACAACAACTTATAACGCTCACAGAAGCAACACATTACTTTCTTATCAGATCTGCTGGTTTTTAATTCTTCAAGGACGCACTGGTCACATAATGTCTGATAATCAGCAGACCAAAGCAATGTTGAAGCGCATTTCGAACCATCATTATAATATACAAATTAGAGACGCGAATTTTCATATTATATTATATTGTAGTATTCAAGATAATGCCTTCCTTTTCAAGTTGAAGATAAAATAAAAAACACAAAGGTGGGGGGGGGGGGGGGTGGGACTATTCTCTTATTCATTGTTAGGAAGTAGCATCAACTTTAAAGGTGACAACACAGAAGAATGGCTCTATTGTAATAATATTTGTAATTATGTCTCGTGAAAGTTTTGTTTTGATCAAAACAAAATCATTGTTGATTGTGTGGCCATTTTCACCTAACTTTCCGAACAGCCCTCGAAGTTCTACTTGGCGCGTTAATTATCTCAATAACGACACTGGCGTCTGTGGTGTAGCGGTTAGAAGACGCTTCACTGTCGTACGCAGTAGACCCGAGTTCCAATACCAAGTAGGGAGACATCTTTTATAGAGTTCCTTGATCTTTTTGTTAGGATGTGGTGTCCCTCTCAGCCGGGGTAGCCGCCCTGACTGGCGGCGTCAGAAGCCCGTCTTCTAATAATTGTGATCTTAATTGTGTCCTTGGGGGTGAAGAATTATCTACATTTTTTCAGGGATGACGTGGTAGAAGAGGTCAGTTTTCAAAATGACATTGGAGAGGTACAGTGTAGCATCAACACCAAACATTTATTGATTATTTCTTGTATTAGCCACAAGACAAAGAGATCATGAGAGAGAGATCATGAGAGAGAGAGAGAGAGAGAGAGAGAGAGAGAGAGAGAGAGAGAGAGAGAGAAAGAGAGAGAGGGAGTAACGAAGATAAGTCAAACCTACAATAAAGCGACCTTTCCAAGAAAACCACTTGTACAAACAACTACTCCCACTCCCCACCCTTCTTGCGTTTTCATAAAACTATTACAACGACACTGCCCAAATCGTCGACCTGTTCAAGACAACCACCTCTATTCTCCTCGACAGCAAGTAGTCGTCTGTACTTACTTTGCTACATCATGGCTGGAGGTCGTGAAATAAAGATAGACCAAAATACTTCAAGAAGTGGTCACACCTATTCAAAGTCAGACCACACGTTTTTGGAATTCGCAAAAGATTAATAGAAAGCAAATTGAAAAAGACCCCCCCCCAAAAAACACCAAAAAAACAACAACCCCCCAACCCCCCCCGCAACAACCAAAACAGCAACAACCGACGATACCTTGTTATTTAAAAAGTAACATCGACAAACCGGCGAAACGCCTCGATTGTCGGAATCCTGCGAAATGTGCTGATGTCATGGAAACGAAATATGAATTTTGTTTTCTTTGAAGTTGATGCGAAGCTGAATATGAATCATTTATGACGTTAGCATATTTATTTGGAAGAGTTTGTCTGGGCGTACGTGACGATTCCGTTTCTTTCTCTCTCTCCAAGCGAACAGACTGGATGAGTTGAGCACATGGGACACAAGCACATTATGCTTGCACCTGCTTCTTTCATCATATCGACAGCGGCAGTTTTTGTCCGAAAATTGAGTAGTCACCCTTAAGCAACGTGGCCTTGGAAAATAAAACTAGAAAGGTCACCTTAATTAATTTTACACTTTCTTGTTTTTTTGTTTTTGGAGCAGACGGTAGGGGTGAAGGCCGGTCATAACCTGTCTGAGCCAGTTTGTTCACTTGCTGTACTCTTACATTACAGTATTCTCACACAGATTTCTGTGACCATGTGTGTTTCTAATATCAATCAGCAGCTATAATGTTGTCATACGCCTTCAGAAGTTTTGATATACATTTCTAAAGCATAAGGGTTTGTCGTGGCATTAACTTTTACAAATGACAAAATCAGCCGGAAGGAAAAAACCGCAGTGTCAATTCTATGGAATGTTCTGGATTGAGAAGTTACAGCTTTCATAGAGGTCAAAGATGAAGTTGCATCTGACAGCGCCCCACCCCCACCCCCCTCGTGGGGAAAGGGCTATGGATATTCACTTCACCTATCCCGTAGACTGGATGTTCGTCGGGGCTTTTGAAGATTTGGCCACCAGCTTCCTCCTCTCCTTCCGTTCTTCAGCTTTCCTGAGCGTGTCTTTGAGTTCCAGGCCTGTCCATTCCTTGATGTTGTCCTCCCAACTCTTCTTCGGTCTGCCTCTGCTCCTTTTCCCCTGGACACTTGTAGAAAATGAACGAATTAAAGCCAAGGAAGGTGGGGGGAGGGGAGGGGGAGACGGCTTCTGTGGTGTAGCGGTCAATGCTTCGCCCTTGCTCGCAGGAGACCCAAGGTCGATTTCCGGGTGGGATGACACTGATCGAGCATCTCCGTCTTTTTGTGGGACACTGATCGAGCATCTCCGTCTTTTTGTGGGACACTGATCGAGTATCTCCGTCTTTTTGTGGGACACTGATCGAGTATCTCCGTCTTTTTGTGGG